TGGTGTGCTGTCGCAACTTCAAAACACTAACCTTCAACAAACAAACCTTCAACGCTCTATAACTCGCGTTGTAGTAGGCCTACAATAATAATTTTTTGCTTATTTTAAAGCTACAATTTCGCTCTATCTGTACGTGAAATTTCGCAATTTTTGAATATTTAATACTAGTGCTAGCACTAAGGGTAGCCATGCAACAACATTGCAACGTTGTTTTAAGTTTATTAAATATAGGCACTTAGTGTTTTAGCTGTTAGCAATGTTAGTGCGAAATTAGGGCTATTAGGCGCAAATTAGGGCTGTTAGGGCCGTTAAACAGCTGTTGCACAACTATGCCACAACTGTCAGCAACAGCCAGTCTAGGCCAGATTTTGAAAAACTTTTCCCGATGTAGGGCGCAAATCCTTGCAAATTAAGGTTAAGTATAACGTGTTTCACCACCAAGTCGCGCACCACCACCGAGTCGCGCGGCCCTACGAACTTTGCGACTATTACATCTATTACAAAGATGCCACCACAACGCAACGCGCAATTAATCTATAATAAAGGCGCACTATACCTTGCAATCTAGGCTACAAATACTACTATGTCTAACAGTATAAAATATACGTCTAGAGTGTTTAATATTCCTAAATTAACCCTAAGAGACTAATGCGCTAGAAAACACGCACAACACAACTGCAAAGCTAACTTAAAGAAGCTTAAGAAGACAGAAGAGGACGCAATAGTTACACGTATACTAGAGCTAGATGAGCAAGGGATAGGCCCTACAAGGACTATGGTAGAAGAAATGGCCAACAATCTGCTCACTGCACGCGGTGAAGGACCCGTTGGCAAGAACTAGGTAGACAGGTTTAGAACGCGTACTAAGGAAGTCAAGCTTTAACATAGCTGTCTATACAATTGTTAACAAGCCCTAAACAAAGACACACATGTTATAGAGCCCTAGTTTAAGCTAGTAAGAAGGACAAAGAAGAAGTACAGGATCCTAGATAAAGACACACACAACTTTAATAAGTCTAGCTTTATAATAGGCATAATTGCTGCTTAAATAGTCTTTATAGGCTCTAAGAAGCAAAGCAATCCTAAGAAGATACAGCTAGGTAACTGTAACTAGGTTACAATTATCTAGGGCATCTGCGCTGGCAGATAGGCTATCCTACCCTTTATTATCTTTAGCAGCAAGGTCCTTATATTAAGCTAGTATCTAGGACTACCTCACAACTAGGTAATTAAGACTAGCGCTAACAGCTAGACAATAAATAAGCTTAGCCTAAAGTGGTTAAAGCACTTTAACGCGCATGCAAAGGAGCGTACTGTTGGCGTGTACTATCTGCTAATTGTAGACAGCTATAAGAGCCACAACAGTTACTAATTCCTTAAGTACTGTGAGGAACAGAAGATTATTACTCTCTGTATGCCTCCTCACTTGTCGCACCTGTTGCAGCTGCTTGACGTGGGCTGTTTTGCCCCTTTGAAGCGCGCGTACTCTGCTAAGATTAACAGCTAGGCAAGGTACTCTATTACACAAGTTAAGAAAGAGACCTTCTTACTAGCCTTCTATATTACCTTTAACAAGGCAATTACAAAGAAGAACATCTTAGCAAGCTTTAAAGGCACTAGCTTAGTTCCTTATAACCTAGAGCAGGTGCTATTAAAGCTTAATATAGTGCTTTGTACGCTAACACCTGCACTATTAGAGACTACCCTGTAGGAGTCTAAAACACTAGCTACTATAAAGGAGATAGAGGCGCAATTAACGCTTATTTATAAGCGTATATAAAGGCACAGAGAATTACTAATCTCTCCTCTTCTATAGGCTGTTAATTTGCTTGTAAAAGGCATAGCTATTATAGGTTATAATTTAGTATTGCAGGTATAGGAACTAGCAGGTATTTGCAAGGCAATAGCTACTATAATAGAGTAGTATAGTTACAAAAGAAAGTATATTTAGGCAGAGAAGAGTCTAACAGTAGGTAATATACTAGATTTAATAGCTAAGAAGGACTATAGTAGTAGGGAGGCAGCTAAACAGGGTGCAAAGAGGGTACGCAAAGATAAGCACTACAGACATTGTAGCAAGATTAGCTATAACTTACGCACCTGCACTACAGAAATTATAGATTAAGATAATAGTAATACTTTTAAATAGTACTTTAAGGCACAGTATGTTTGTGCGCAGTACTGTGGTGGAGAGTAATGGTCTGTAATAGTTGCAAAGTTCGTAGGGCCGCGCGACTTGGTGGTGGTGCGCGACTTAGTGGTGAAACACGTTATACTAGATAATTTTCTGCTCCTCTAGTATAGTAAGTTTCTAGCAATTAGTGTGTATGTCTAGTTAAAACGTAATATTGCAAAGGTAATTAGAGACCTGCTAATAAGGTATGTTTAACGCTCTAGCAGCGCTGTAGATACTGCAAAATTAGCTAGCATAGAAGGCCTAGATAGCAAGGATAACTCTACCTTCTCTAGTAGTATTCTAAAG